CCCCCCCCTTGGTAAACTCTTTCTACACATAGTTGCTGGCTGGCGCCAGCCCGGGGCACCCCTCGGCCTCCCGAGCGCCAACAAAAGCCGGCTGGCGCGGAGAGTGGGAGGCTCAGCACCCCCCGACCCGTTTGATCGGAGCCTAATTGGGGCGAGGGTGCTCCCCGCCCCCCCCCCCCCCCCCTTCCACCCCCCCCCCACCACTCCCTGGGTCCCTGGGGCTGGTGGGTTATGCGAATTATTTAAATGAGCTAATTTGCATGGGGTGGCACTGGCGCATCCCAGAGCATCGTGGTGGGGGATGTTGGGGTACACTCGCAGGAGGGGTCGGTTGCCACTTCCCTCCCATGGGTGCCCCGCTGCCACGCTGTGCTTAGTGCAGAAACAGGCAATACTTCTGGCCCAAAAAAATGCCATTTAAATGCAGGAAAGCCGTAGGAGCGCTGAGCCGCCTGCCCTTCCCTCTTTATTGGTGCTTTCCCCGGTTGAGACCTGGTGGAGCACGCCCCGCATCATCTGTGGCCTGGGGGCACGTGGGGCCACATTTGGGAAAAATCCAAGCAAAAAGGCATTTCCCCCCCCCCCCCCCAGATCCCAATCCTGTCCTGAAATCGCTCGCTGCCCAGACGGGGCCAGCACAGCCCTGTGCCTGGGGTTGTACTGGGAGGACTGGGTGCTACTGGGAGCGCTGGGGGCACTGGAGGGTTCTCCCAGCCCCTCGCAGCAGAGCAGGAGCCCTCCTGCTCCCACCCCCTCTAATCCCCTCCCGTGGGATTTGCCCCCTAAGCTGCTTATTTCTCTCTATTTTCCCTAGGCCTGAACGAACCCAAGCCTGCCCCAGCACGACGCCTCGCGCCAGCTGAGCTGTGGGGTCTGGGCACTCTGCCCCCCGGGCTGCCGGCCGGTGTCCTGGCATGTGGGGCTGGCACTGTCTTGGAATATGGGGCTGGCACTGCCATGCCAGGGGACATGGGGCTGGCACTGCCCTGGCATGTGGCAGTGGCACTGTCCCGGCATATGGGGCTGGCAGTGCCATGCCAGGGGATGCGGGGCTGGCACTGCCTGTACCTGCGGTGCGTGTACACGGGGCAGCACCAAGCTGCAGTCCTCTGCGCCAATGGTCCCAGGTCCCACACGCAGCAAGCCCCACAACCCCTGGCACAGGCCAGGATGAGACTCACCACTTCATGGCACCCGCCTCCACGCATGTCACCTCCATTCCCTCCAGACCCCGGCCCCCCAGCAGGACAGACATGGTCCCAGGGGACTGCGGTGACAAGGGGGGCCGCGCTGTCCCTCTACAGGGCGTGGGAGCCGGGGACCTCGGGACTCAGGTTCTCCTCGGGGGTGTTGACCCAGGAGCTCCCCGCTGCCCCCCAGCTCCCGGGGGGGGAGGGGGAGAGGGAGCTGCCAGGTGGTGAGGGGGAGGCTGCCAGCCGCAGGGTGGGTTTGGGGATGAGGGGCTTTCTCACGCGTACAGGGGGGGGGGGAGGGAGCTGCCAGGTGGGGGGGGGGGGGCCGCCAGCCGCAGGTTGAGTTTGGCGATGAGCGGCTTCCCCACGCTCACCGTCCGCCTCTCCTCCACAAAGTCATCCATGCCGCGGTAGCGGTATTGCAGGCAGACGGTGAACACCAGCTCCTGCTGTGGGGGCACCGGCAGCGTGGGCCCCCATCCTGGGCCGCGGCCGCGGTGTGCTCCTGGCACCGGTCCCCCACCCAGTGCGGCTCTTACCCGCAGTTTCTGCAAGCCGCAGAGCCGGCTGTAGAGGCAGCAGGAGGGGCAGCCAAGGCTCCAGGTGGGCGCCAGCGGGCTGCCCATCTCCTCCGGGCTCTCCTTGTTGGTGCACTTGAGGTCCACGTCCAGCTCCTGCCACAGACGGCATCCAGCAGTGGAAACCACCATGATCCAGCCGTGGAAACCACCATGGGCCCCCCCACCCTATTCCCCAGCATCGCCCCAGTGTGGGCTTCAGCAACCTGCTCTCACCTCTGGTATGTCGGTGAGCTTGGCCTCGCACTTGGCGATGTCCTCGGGGGTGGCCACCACGCGGGTGTAGATGATCATGATGTTGGAGAACTCAGCGGCGAAGCCCAGCTGGACGACGACACCACAGTCAAAGCGGAGGTGCCGGCTCTCCGGCAGGACTGGGGGGGTGACAGTGAGCACGGGGCTGGGACCTGCAGGTGCTCGGGGTCAGAGCTGCATCTGCAGGTGAGGTGACCGCCAGGGTCACCCCCAAGCGGGGATGCTGACATGATGCTCCTGCCACCGGGCTGGCAGCTCTGTGCCGGTGGTTTCTCTCCTCCAGGGTGGGAGGAACCCGGCAGGTGCTGCCCGCTGCCTCTCACTGTGACTCAGCGCTGTCCCCCCGCTGGGTGCCAGGTCCGGATGGGGTGGCCGCAACTCTCACCATGAGCCTTGGCCCACTGCAGGTTCCTGGCGGAGGACTCGTCCTGGCCCGAGGGGCAGATGGGGTCCGTCAGAGCTCGTCTCTCCGAGAGGTTGCTGCGGAGCTCCAGCGCCTGCCGGCCCCGTGTGATCTCCAGCGTGCCCATGTCTGCGGGGGGCACAGGGGGTTGGCGGGGGCCGCCAGGGAGGTTGCTGTTCCCTGCTGCTCCCCACTCACCCTCGGCCACCTTGTCCAGCAGCACCGTAATCTTCTCATCCTCCAGCAGCCAGTGCTTGAGGAAGGTGACGAAGACACCATTGGAGAGCTCGCCCTGGCTCAGCTCGTAGGCTTCAGCGTCCGCGCACCTGTTAGGATGGGGCAGTGGTCGGCTCCGTCGTGGGCTCCGTTGCTCCCCCAGGAACCAGCCCGCACTGGGGCAAAAGCCCTGGGGAAGCCAGAGCTGGGTGCCCACGGCTCTACCTGCTCCCATCAACCCATCCGGCCACTGTGCCGGGGAGAGGTGGAAGCCGCCGCCAGATCCTAGATGCTTAAAGCATCATCAGCCTAAATCCCTGTGCTCCGGAGGAGCCTCGGGGCTTAATCCCCTCAGGTGCTGCCCGAAGCCAAGCAGTGCCATGGGCACCTCCCTGCCCTGTAAGGGACTGGGGGCTGCCGCTCACCCACCACCTCCAGCATTGACCAGAGGGAGCGACGCTGCTGATACATGGGGCGGGGAAAGACGCGGGTGCAAATGGGGCTGAGCCCTGGCAGGGGGCTGAGCCCTGGCCCCACTCTGAGCCAGGGAGGGAGACTCAGCCCCACTGCATGAACACCCCCCCCCTCCCTGCGCCAGGGGATGGCGGGGGAGGGGACCCACGTGGCATAGCCGAAGACGATGTTGGCTGTGACCTGCAGCGCCCCGACCTGTGGGATGATGTCGTCGTTGAGGTTCCTGCGAGAGAAGTGCCGCTGGGCAGAGCCGGGACCTGCCGCCCCCTCAAAACCCACCCCAAGGCACCCCAGACCCCGGGGGCTGCCCTGTGCCCTTCTGCCCACCCATCGTGGCATATGCCGGCTCAACTGGGGCAGTGATGCTTTGGGGCATCCAGACAAAGCCAACGGGTTTGGATGGGACCCCAGGGGTGCCCCACTCCGCTCCCGTGGGGAACCAGCACCCACAGGCACCCCCATGCCAGGGCCTCCCGGCAGCTTGTCCCTAGGCTGGTGGCTGGGACCGGGTCACCTCTTGCGGCACATGTCGAGCAGGAAGATGTTGAGGCCGGTGTGGCGCTGCTGCATGCTCTGCAGCACCCGCTGCACGCACAGGCAGTGGGCCGAGGTGTAGGAGCTGGGCGCGTCGATGGGCACCATGAAGCTGTTGCCAAAATTTTCATAGCCGTGCCCGGCGTAGTAGAGCAAACCTGCCGGGAGGGGCGGAGAGCAGGTGACATCCCTTGACCTGCCGGTGCCCGCTTCTTGCCCAGCCACCCTCCAAGACCCCGCCAGCACAAAACCACCCGGTTCCCCCTGGCTGGAGCCGCCCCGGCTGGTGCCACCACACCGTATACGCCCTTGTCGAGGAGGAGGAGGAACTCGTTGACAGCCATCTGCATCTCAGCCTTGCACAGGTCCAGCAGCGAGACCACCTTGAAGTCGAGTTGGCGGAGGAGGGCGCTGAGGGCATGCACGTCCACCATGGGCGCCTTCAGCTGCTTGTGGTGCAGGTAGTGCATGTTGCCGATCAGCAGGGCCACTTTGTCGGTGGCTGCCGGGACGGGAGAGGGAGGCGCTGGGGACGGAGCGGGACACTCCTGCTGTCCCCGCTACCTTCAGCCCACAGAGGTGACACCCGGCTGTGGCCGGTGTCACTGTCCCCGGGTAGTGGGATGCCCTGTGGTGTCCCTGCCTTGCTGCTCCACTCTCCCTGGCATGCTGCACCCAAAGCACCCCTGGCCGAGCGGGGCCTCGTGGGGTGACACTGGTGACACTGGTGATGGTCACAGCCACACAGGGCCACCCACCCCTCCTGGACAGGCTCTTACCATACAGCTGGCCAGGGCTGCCGTGCTCCGGGGAGCCTGGAAAGAGAGAAACGCCGTGCCACGGCCCCGCAGTGCCCAGGGAGTGCAGTGGGCAGAGCAGTGGGGACCTGCCCACCTACCTCCATCCCCCTCCTGCCAGGAGCCTCCGGAGGCGAAGAGCCGCGGGCCTGCAGCAAAGGGGGGAGTCAGGGAGCCCCGTGCGTGGCAGCACCTGCCAGCGCAGGCTGGAGTCCCCCAGAACCATGGGGCAGCCGTGGAAAGGCTTTACGGGGGAGGCAGAGCAGAGCCAGGACACCCCACGCAGGGTAGGGGGCCATGGAGGCTTGTCCGGGGCCCTCACCGATCTCCACATCCACTTCCCGGCTCCACACCTCATGGAAGAGGTTGAACACACGGCAGGAGTAGCTGCCCCGCTCAGCCGTCGTCACCAGCTTCACCTGCCGGCGGGACGGAGTGGGCGGCTGGGGCGGTGGCATGCTGTGCTGTGCTGTGCCGTGCCGTGCCGCACCATGCCGCGCTATGCCACACCGGGGGTCCTGCCATACCTGGAGCTGGGGCGCCTGCGCACCCTCCACAGGGCACCGGTTCCTGAACCACTGGTACTGGGGCGGGGGGTTGCCGATGGCTCTGCACTCCAGTGTCAGCGTGTCCCCCTCGGCCAGACGGCACGGCCGCGGCTGCTGCAGGATCTGCAGCCCCTCCATGGTCAGGCAGTAACCGCTGGCTGCAGGGGGGGACGGGGCGGAAAATCTGGCACCCAGCCATGGCAGGGCTCCCCCGAACTGCCCCCAGGCCCCAGGTCCCTCACCCACAGGCCCTGGCACCCACTGGTGGCATGAGCCAGTGGGCACAAGGAGGACACAGGACATTTGGCTCCTCTGTGGGAACCGTCACCCCAGCAAGCCCAGAGACCCTCACGGCTGAGGCAGGGCGCAACATGGCAAGCGATGCCCTACGGGAGCCGCCCCACTCCCGATGGGGTGAGCAATGCCCTACAGGAGCCACCCTGGTCCCGACGGGACAAGCGGTGCCCCATGGGGGCCAGTCTGGGGACGCAGATCTTGGGGCCCACCTGAGCTGGGGCTGCTGCTCTTCTCCACCTGGACGTGGGCCCACCTGGAGAAGGCGAAGGCGGCCCCGCAGTTCACCCGGCAGATGTACCACTCGGGCTGGCCCGGCAGGGCAGCCGTGTCAACCACCAGCTCCGGGGCCGTGGCTCCGGGCACCTACGAGACAGGAGGGGGCCAAGGAGTTGGGGGCTCCCTCCCACCCGTCTGGGTGCCCTCGCCATGGATGGGGCCCAGGGGCCCTGCTCAACATGGCACAGCAGGACCTCACCTCGTGCTTCCCACAGAACCACTGGTACGCGAGCCCCAGCGGGCCCGTTGCCCAGCAGGTCAGGGACACCCGCGTCCCCTCTGTCACCACCTGCGACTCCGGCTGCACCGTGATGCGGATCATGTCCCGGACTGCAGGAAAGGAGAGACCAGCCTGGGCTGGCTGAGACCCCTGTCCCGCACCATCCCACCACATCCAGTTCCATCCTGTCCTGTCCCATCATACCCTGTCCCACCCCCGCC